CCTCTTCAGAGAGGACCAGGCATTGGCATATTAAATATTTAATTGGCAGCAAAGGCACACATTGGCCCCATCAGGAATAATTAAGACCCCCCTCCCCATTAATGCAGCCTGCTCAGCTCCCCCAGGCAGCACCATCCCCTGCCACGCTTGGGGACCCATCACAGGACGGGGAGGACTCCCACCCCCCACAGGGCACCCTAAAGCAGGGTTGGGGGGCAGGAAAGCCAGAAGCTGGAGGGGAGCAGAGACCCCCAGCCCTTCCCCAGCAGGGCAGGGATGCAGGCAGGGAGCAAGCCCCTTTGGGGAGCAGGCAGATGTCCTGGTGTGGACCCCCCCTCACTGCAGGGGTGAGATCTTCAGGGGAATCATTATTCGTGACTCCATGGTCCGGATCAGCGGCACTGAAAAAGGAAACAAGAGAGGTGAGGGCGCAGGGGTCCCCAGCGCAGGTACGGGGGTCCCCAGCGCAGGCAGGGGGTCCTGCTCACCCGTGTAGTACACGTTTTCGTCCCAGCCCCTCTTCCTCCAGGCCGCGTTCCTTGTCTCCTCCCGGGACTGCAGGTCCTTGTAGGCTGCGGGGATGGGACAGGGCTGGCACTCAGGCCACCCTCACCAAGAACCACAGCGGGGGTTCCCAGGCGGTGACACAGGCAGCGGGGACTCTGCTTACCCCAGAGGTGATGCACAACGTACAGCTCCCCGATCTGGGAGAAGAAACCCCCAACTGCCTCCTGGTTCTCCTGCCGGTACTTAATGGCCCGAGCCCTGGCACACAGCAGGAGAAAAATGTTGGGAGGAGTTGCCCTAGGGCCCCCCCCTGCTCCAGGGGGACCTTTTCCCACCTTGGCTCCCTCCACGCTGGGAAAGCGGTTGCTTACCAGTTGTTGCCCCATTCTATCATAGTCCCTGGCTGGAAATAGAGGACAAAAAAAAACCAGTGAGCAGCCAGATGCCGTCTGCTCTTTGTGCTTGGGGTCTCCTCACCAAGAAGGGGGGGAACTAGGAGGCTGCCTCCCAAAAACATCAGGCAGGACCCCTGCCCTGTGGATAAACCCGCCCAAAAGCCACTCACCTTCAGCTTGTAGGTCCTCAGCTCATAGATGTTAGGTCCTTGGCGGGGCAGGGGCTCGTTCCAGAAGCTGAACTCCAGGAGCAGCTGGTTCCTGCGGGACAGCAGCATCCGGCTCCTCTCCTTGCGGAAGTCCAGGTACTCCTGGAGACAGCCCCAGCCAGGGGTTTCGGGGTGGGGGTGAGCATGACCCAGAACGGGGGGGGGACAGAGGCGAGGCACAGAGCTCAGGTGGCTCACCCCACTCCTGGTGGTACCTTGTTCTGTTTGAGCTTGTTCATGCAGTCCATGAGGGCGGGGTATCCCCCCGAGAAGCGCCAGAGGTGCACTGGAAGGAGACCGTGGGACTGGGGAGGGGGGAGCAGTGCCCCAAAAGCCCACCTGGCAGCTCCCACCCCTCTCTCTCTGTGTGACAGTCATCCCTCCGGCAGCAGGGGCACCGGGAGCCACTGCCTGCCCTCACCTGCCTGGTCCTGCTCGCCATACCACGTGTTCCAGTTGCCCACCAGGTCACAGGGGTAGTCGGCATCTGAGTGGAGCTTGGGCAGCACCTCCTCTCTGCAGGGGCACAGGAGAGGCAGCTGGTGGGGGACGGCCATCCCAAAATGCTCCTGATATCCCCGTTTGCTCACTCAGCCCAGCACGAGGGGCCTGCACTGAAGGGTCTGCCCTAAGGGAACCTGGAGCAGCCCAGGGAGGGGGTCCACTCATTTCACAGGGAGGGAAACTGAGGCAACGAGCAGGGGCAAGGACCTGCATGAGGCCTCAAGGAGTTCAGCACAAGCCCTCCCACCCCTCCTCACTCCGGAGTGGCACCCAACGCCATGTCGGAATGCCGGGCAGTCCCCTCAACACGCGGCGGGGCTCACGTCAGGCTGTTGTAGGCATCCAGGCACTCTGGCTTCACATTGTGAACTGCAGAGAGGAGAGGGGGGCTGCCAGGGTGGGAGCCGAGGCCTCAGGAGGGCAGCAAGGCCCAAGGCAGAGCAGCCAGGGGGGTCCTCACGGGTACCTCCAGCTGCGCTTCCCCCC